GGTCAGCAGCAAGCTGTAGTTTTTAAAAATGTTTTTAGTTAAACGTTGAGGAGAAAAAAAAAAGGCTTCTCCCCCAAAGTATCATGTGTGAACCTACAACACCCTGACCTCTTTCTCTCCTCCTTGATTGTATGAATAACCCTGAGATCACCTCTTAGAACTGGTTTTAACCTTTAGCTGCAGCCACTGTGCTGCCACGTGTGTATGTATATGATGTTGTACATTGCACATACCCTTGGGTCCCCACAGTTTGGTCCCCCTCCTAGCTACCCCTTTATAGTATGACGAGTTAACAATTTGGTGACCTGCACAAAGCGAGACACAGCTATATAATCTCTTGCCAGACATCGCCCCTCCTGGCGATGCTGTACAGGTCTCTGTAAAAAGTCCTTGCTGTCTCAGCAGCCAGTCAACTTATAGTTTATTTTTTTTTCTGGGTTTTTGTTCTGTTTTGTTTTCTTTCTAATCGAGGTGTGAAAAAGTTCTAGGTTCAGTCAAAGTTCCTGATGAAGAAACACAATTGAGATTTTTTCAGTGATAAAATCTGCATATTTGTACTTCAAACAATGTAGCTAAAACTTGATGTAAATTCCTCCTTTTTTCCTTTTTTGGCTTAATGAATATCATTTATTCAGTATGAAATCTTTATACTATATGTTCCACGTGTTAAGAATAAATGTACAGAAGATGGCGGCATAGGTTAACGCCGGAGATTGCTGCCTCGAACAACCACTTCAAAAATCAACTAAAGACGGAATGGACATCATTCAGAACCACAGGAAGGCTGGCTGAGTGGAAATTCTACAACTAGAAGGAAAGAGAATATCATACCCAGACTCAGAGGAGGCGCAGTGCTGAAGTGAAATACTGAGGTGCGGAGTGTGCGTGGAGCAGGCTGGCGGCATAGGGCGCGGTTGTTGTTTTCAATCGGGAGGGAGTTTCAGACTCTGAGCTCCAGATCCGGGCGAGTCTCTAGGGACCCAGACTCAAACGGGAGAAGCGGGACTGTCTGGCTTCGGTCAGAACTCGAAGGCAGCTTTCTCTCCGAGGTTTGCAGCGGTTGCTGGGACTCTGTGAGGCAGAGCCCCTAGGGACGGAACTGAGAGCAGCCATAACTGCTTGCTCCACCCACCCTGTAGATCCCCAGGGACCCGCCCCGCTCAAGCCCTTCGCAGAGCCATTTGCCGAATAGCCTCAGGGAAATGCTAGATTAGCACTGCCCTAGAGATCCAGCACAGAAGCTCTCCCACTGCAGACACAGCGGACTCTCATAGCCAGTTAGCCTGGAGGTCAAATCACCCCGGTATTGCCGACAACAATCAAGGCTTAACTACAACAAGACTGCGCACAAAGACCACTAGGGGGTGCAGCAAGAAAGCATAAAAAATGCGGAGACAAAGAAACAGGACAAAATTGTCCATGGAGGATATAGAGTTCAGAACCACACTTTTAAGGTCTCTTAAGAACTGGCTAGAAGCCGCCGATAAATGTAGTGAGATCCTCAAGAAACCTAATGAGACCCTCGATGTTGTGATAAAGAACCAACTAGAAATTAAGCATACACTGACTGAAATAAAGAATATTATACAGACACCCAACAGCAGACCAGAGGAGCGCAAGAATCAAGTCAAAGATTCGAAATGCGAAGAAGCAAAAAACACCCAACTGGAAAAGCAAAATGAAAAAAGAATCCGAAAATACGAAGATAGTGTAAGGAGCCTCTGGGACAGCTTCAAGCGTACCAACATCAGAATTATAGGGGTGCCAGAAGATGAGAGAGAACAAGATACTGAAAACCTATTTGAAGAAATAATGACAGAAAACTTCCCCCACCTGGTGAGAGAAATAGACTTACAGGTCCAGGAAGCGCAGAGAACCCCAAACAAAAGGAATCCAAAGAGGACCACACCAAGACACATCATAATTAAAATGCCAAGAGCAAAAGACAAAGAGAGAATCTTAAAAGCAGCAAGAGAAAGAAACTCAGTTACCTACAAGGGAATACCCATACGACTGTCAGCTGATTTCTCAACAGAAACTTTGCAGGCCAGAAGGGAATGGCAAGAAATATTCAAAGTGATGAATGCCAAGAACCTACAACCAAGATTACTTTATCCAGCAAAGCTATCATTCAGAACTGAAGGTCAGATAAAGAGCTTCACAGATAAGGAAAAGCTAAAGGAGTTCATCACCACCAAACCAGTATTATATGAAATGCTGAAAGGTATCCTTTAAGAAGAGGAAGAAGAAGAAAAAGGTAAAGATACAAATTATGAACAACAAACATGCATCTATCAACAAGTGAATCTAAGAATCAAGTGAATAAATAATCTGGTGATCATAATAGAATCAGGGACATAGAAAGGGAATGGACTGACTATTCTTGGGGGGGGAAAGGTGTGGGAGATGTGGGAAGAGACTGGACAAAAATCGTGCACCTTTGGATGGGGACAGTGGGTGGGGAGTGAGGGCGGAGGGTGGGGCGGGAACTGGGAGGAGGGGAGTTATGGGGGGAAAAAAGAGGAACAAATGTAATCATCTGAACAATAAAGATTTAATTAAAAAAAAGAATAAATGTACATTAAATCTTGGTAAAAATATATATATTTATATATATATTTGTATGCAGTTTTAGTATTTCTAATGCAAGCTCTTGCTCACTAGTCTTATTCAACATGTTTTGGGCTCTTCGTACATAACAGGTGAGATTAGAAATTGATATTATCACTTTGGAAACTAAAGAAAATTTGGTCACCATCTTCAGTGTGCCTTCATAATTGCTAGGCCTCATGTAGAAGTGGGGAAATGACTTTCTCCTTATTTTTGTGCCACTCTTTGTTACCTGTGTCACAAAGCATTTCTCCTTGGGTCCTGAGTCTCAGTCACTCTTGACTTGCTCTTTCCATTCTTATTAGCACTTACTACAATAGTTAGCCCATGTGGTTTGACACATTATTCAGTAGAGCTGAATATTGAACAGATACCATGCCATTCTTTTTCTTTTTACCCTCTCCCACAACCATAATATTCTTTCTTATTTTCTGTTTATTTTTAAAACAGTACCTTCTGGACACTAATGTGATGAGACAGAGAAACAGTGTTATGTATATCAGCAGTTAACAAAAAGTTCTCTTTGACATAGAAAAAGGGAATGTGGTTGCTCCTCAGTAGACTAGGTAATAAATTAAACAAGGTGTATTTTCAATCTGAATGGGTTAGATTAAATGGACTGACAATACCTAGTATTGGTGAGGATATGGAACACCCAATCTCATACATTGCTAAGATGTTATACATTGTTGGTGGAAGTGCAATTTAATATACCTGTTTTGGAAAATTATTTGGCATTATCTCCCAACCCTCAATGTACATATTTTCTCTATTAACAAGTCTGCTATTTGGTATATATACAAAAGAAAAATGTGTATGTCTATCAAAAGATGTGTACAGTTATATTCATAACAATTTTGTGATAGCCTAAAATGTAAACAACGCTCATGTTCATGAACAATAAAACTGTCATAAATTGTGGTATATTAATACAATGGATACTATGCAGCAACGCAAAAAAGGAATTACTGATAAACATAGTAATATGGCTGAATCTCTCTTTGATTGAAAGAAAGCAAACAAAAGATGATAGTGTTTATATGAATTTTAACAACATGTCAAATGTTAAGGAAAAATAATTAAACCATATGAGCTGGGGATAGTTACTGACCGGAAGGAAACTTGCGAGAACTGTTTCGGTTCTAGAAATGTTCATCTTTGTTATAGTTACATAGGTACATGTAGTATTTATCCAATTTCATCTAGGTATAACAAGATTTATGCATCTTATTGTATATAATTATACCTCAGTACAAAAACAGAAAAATTTTGTCTGATTTAAAACTTATTTTTACACATTTTCTCTCACCCAAGAAAATCCTCAACCAATTTTACCCACTAATATGCTAAGTGGAATCACATTAAATTTGCCTAACAACTTGGAGAAACTTTAATGATACAGTATTAAGCCTTTATTAGATTCAGATTTAGTGTATGATATGTGTTTAGGTAAGTTTTTATAATTTTCTTTATTAATACATATACCTTTTAAAAATGTATTCTTAGATATTTTTTGTGAACAGGCTATCATGTTTTTCACATATTGCAAGTATTAAAAAGTTATTTTGTACACTTATCCTTTGCCAACTACCTTAATTTTTTAAATTATTCATCTTTTGAGTCTGTTTAGTACAGACTAAATAGTTTTGTGTGTGTGTTTTTTAATCAACTTTAGGAGAGGAAAATTGTCTTTACCAGTATTTTACTGATTTTTTATAAATTGAATTATTTGATTTTTCTAAAATTAAGCCATCCTTACATTCCTGAAGAAAAATACATTTTGTTATATATAGTGTGTACTCTTTTTATGTACTAGTAGTAGTGGATTGGATTTTCTGATACTAAGAAAGTTTATATTTATGTATAGGTAAAATTAGTTTTTGTGTTATTTTTATAATGTGTTTTGGATATTAGTATCTATAGTTGCTAACTGTTGAATTCATGGGATTTTGAACAAATTTTTGAAAACTAGTGACTTTCAATTGTTTTATTAAAAATGAGGGAATCGCACCCCAGCTGGTTTGGCTTAATGGATAGAGCATCGGCCTGTGGACTGAAAGGTCCTGGGTTCGATTCCAGTCAAGGGCAAATGCCTTGTTGCGGGCTCCAACCCCAGTAGGGGGTGTGCAGGAGGTAGCCAATCATTGATTCTGTCTCATCATTGATGTTTCTATCTCTCTTCCTCTTCCTTCCTCTGTAAACCAATAAAAATATATTTTTAAAAAATGAGGGAATCTCTATTTTTATTTGGCTACAGAGAAATAATTTCAGGTAAGTAGTTATTTCTTTGTTTGAATAAACACACAGAGAGAACCACAAAGTGTTTTAAAAATTTATTTGCTCTAATACTTTTTTCTGAAATTTTCATTTTTATATTTTCTTTTCCACAGTCCGTGGTGGATGACTGGATTGAATCATATAAACAAGACAGGGACATCGCACTTCTGGATTTAATCAACTTTTTTATCCAGTGTTCAGGATGTCGAGGTACAGAATGTCGGAGTAAATGATGTACATTGAGCCTGTCAGTCCAGCAATGTCAATTTATTTCACCTTCCATTAGTCATACATAATTCATCATAGGATTACGTGCTAATTTTTTATGATAAAGAAGATTATTGTTAAAATTTTTAAGGATGTTTCATTTTGTTCTGGTTTAGCTTTGCTCCTGTGAAATAACATATTTCTAAATATTTTCAGCGCTAGCCAGTTTAGTTCAATAGATAGAGAGTTGGCCTTCGGACCTAAGGGACCTGGATTTAATTCTGGGCAAGGGCACATAACTTGGTTACAGGCTCCTCCCCAGCCTAGTCAGGGCTCATGTAGGAGACAACCAATTGATGTGTTTCTGTCTTTTTCTGTCTCTTCCACTCTCTCTAAAATCAATGGAAAAATATCCTCGGATGAGGATTAACAATAAAAAAAAATATTTTGAATTTTTGAAGGGAATCAGAAATTCATTTAAGGCAGCGGTTCTCAACCTGTGGGTTGTGACCCCTTTGGCGGTCGAACAACCCTTTCACAAGGGTCACCTAAGACCATCCTGCATATCAGATATTTACATTACGATTCATAACAGTAGAAACATTACAGTTATGAAGTAGCAACGAAAATAATTTTATGGTTGGGTCACAACATGAGGAGCTGTATTTAAGGGGCCAGAAGGTTGAGAACCATTGATTTAAGGAATTTATGAATTGAGCTTTTATAATTAATATTTACTGGTATTATTTGTACCTGTGCTCCATATCAGGAACTGCGCTAGTTGCTACCATTGGTTATATTGTTTGCTTGTCAGTATTTTCGTCTTGATTTTATCAATGAGGTACTTGAAGCTCAAAGAATTTGCTTAAGGTTATGTAAGTACCAGAATCGGGTTTTTTAAGTTTATAGTTGGTTGGAAATCTGTAGGAAGTTTGTTAAAATGAAGTTTTATTTTTATCATGTTAATGGTTAACTGATATTTTTCATCCTTAAAATAGATAAGTCTTAACAGATTATATTTTACATGGGTGAAATCATTTTGTAAATCAGCATTATTTTCTTTCCAGTAGAGAAAGAACAGTGATCGTTTATTGAGGTCACTAATCAAATTAATTTCTTAAAGGCTCTCATTTATGTTCAAGTTACAGCTCACCATATTGATATAAGTAGTTTAATAAATATTTACAGAGCACCTACCTTGTACTAAGTACTGTTCCTGAGCATACAATTGTTACCAAGAATCTCTACCTCCCCCCCACCCCCCAAGTCAATATTAGGGGATACAAAATTTTTTTTTAAATCCTCACCTGAGAATATGTTTTACCGATTTAAGAGAGAGAGAGAGAGAGAGAGAGGCGCATCTGTCAGTTGCCTCCTGTATGCACCCCCACCTGGGATTGAACCACAATCCTTGGTGCATAGGATGACACTTCAAACAGCTGAGCCACACCAGCCAGGGCAGGGGATTTGTAATTTTTAATGGAGGCTTTATTACAAGGAACAATGAGGGATATATACCAATAGTTCAGTAAAGTGCTCAGTGCCATCATAAGAGTAATAAAGTTGGTTACTATTTAGTGACTGGATATGTGCCGAGTTGTGTGTACTTTACGTACATTAGCTCATCCTAATATATAAAAACCCACGGTCCGTAATATCCAAAACAACCAAAGGCTCGACCAACCGGAAGGCACCACGACCCAACACTGACTGCTGAGGGGGCTGCGGATCAGGCCTGAAGAGAGGCCTGGAGGGAGAAGCAGGTTCTGATCCGTAGCTTCTGTGGCAGCTGTTGATCAGCACTTTCCTCTCTCTCGCTCCGCAGCCGCGCCTCTCTTTCTCTCGAGCCTGCGCTGGGGCTGCTGATCAGCCCCACCTCTCTGATCAGGCCCATTGATAGGCCCGGAGATGCTGACTGGCATAGAAACCAATCAATCAGAACCAAATCTGGGTGAAGTGCGAGGAGCCAATGGCTCCCTAGAAGGCGGAGCTTTTGTCACTGACTGGCATAGAAACTGACCAATCAGAATCCAATCTGAGTGAACTGCGAAGGCAGAAGCTAAGCTGGGGGCTGAGGAGGGGTTCAAGGGCAACAGCTATTTGATATAAGATGTAAGAAAGCAGTTCAATTTTTTAATGACTAGTTTGGCAGTATAGTGCATATGGCTGGCTATCAGTCCAGATATAGGGATTATGTATTTTTGTCTGCCAAGAGCATCTCCTCTTGATGAAAAAGGCCTTTTCCCCCGCTTAAGCAATCCTATCCTATATAATCTATCTCTATACTACTAAAAGGATAATATGCTAATAAGACCAAGTCGACCGGCCATCTTCTGGATGTCCGACTTCCTTCCGGACAAAGCCATGGTGGTGGGGGCTGAGGCAGAGGCTGTTAGGGGCGATCAGGCCAACAGGGGAGGGCAGTTGGGGGCGAGATCAGTCTGGCAGGGGAGGGCAGTTGCGGGTGAGATCATCCGGCAGGGGAGGGCATTTGGGGGCGAGATTAGGCCAGCAGGGGAGGGCAGTTAGGGGCGATCGGGCAGGTAGAGGCAGTTAGGGGTGATCAGGCCAGCAGGGGAAAGCAGTTAGGGTGAGATCAGGCCAGCAGGGAAGGGCAATTGGGGGTGATCAGGCAGGCAGAGGCAGTTGGGGGCGAGATCAGGCTGGCAGGGGAGGGCAGTTAGGGATGATCAGGCAGGCAGAGAGGTTAGGGGCAATCAGGCAGAGGCAATTAGGGGCAATCAGGCAGGCAGGCACATGAGCAGTTAGGAGCCAGCGGTCCCAGATTGCAAGAGGGATTCCACAGGGATCGGGCCTAAACCGGCAGTCAGACATCTCCCAAGGGGTCCCCGATTGGAGAGGGTGCAGGCTGGGCTGAGGGACCCCCTTCCTCTCCCCCCCCCCCAAATTTCGTGCACTGAGCCACTAGTTTAATATGAGTTCCTGATTTTATCAGGCAGATGTGATCTTTATTTTGTAGATCAGGAAACTGAGAATAAAGGGCTTAGATAAGTGTTTGGACATCATGCAGTTTGTAGATTCCAAATTCAAGATTCAGAGTTTGTCTCAATCTGTGATCTATATGCCCAACCACAGAACACTCTGGGAATTACAAGGAGGGATTCTCATCCAGCCCGGGCTCTCTGTGTATGTGAGGATATTTCTAAGAAAGTGCATCGGATAAGAAGAAACTGTGATGAGACTGAGGTTGAGTAAAAGAACATTAATGGGGAGAAGAAAGACCAAAGTTAACAACTTGTGCAAGCCTGAAGACAAAAAAGCACTGTACACTATAGGACATAAATTGAGTTTGTGGCTGAATCCAAGACCATAGAAATGGGTGAAGAGTTGCAAGAGATTAGGCTATGTGATAGAAAGGGAGTGTTAAATTTACAGCCTTTAAATGAGCAAGGCAAGCACCAAGTGATGTACTTTACATATTTTATCTAATTTAATCTATATGTGTCCTATTAGATTGTTTTTCTTTTCACTTTTCTCTTTTTTAAAAAAAAAACTTTATTGTTGAGAGTATTGCAGATGGTTCCCCATTCCCCCCTTCATCGGGTTCCTGCCCCACCCAGGTCTTCCCCCACCCTATTGTTTATGTCTATAGGTAATGCATATATGCATATGTTCTTTGGCTAATCTCTTCCCGCCTCCTCTTCACACACACACACCCCTTCCCTTTGAGATTAGTCAGTCTGTTCCATGTTTCCTTGCCTCTAGTTCTGTTTTATTCATCACTTTATTTTGTTCATTTATTTTGATTTTTAGATTCAATTGTTGATAGCTATGTATTTATTGCCATTTTATTGTTTATATTTTTTATCTTCTCCTTAAAGAATACCCTTCAGTATTTCATGTAATACTGGTTTGATGGTGATGAACTCCTTTAGCTTTTTCTTACCCGTGAGGCTCTTTATCTGACTTAAAATTCTAAATGATAACTTTGCTGGGTAGGGTAATTATGGTTGTAGGTCCTTGCTATTCGTCACTTTGAATATTTCTTGCCACTCCCTTCTGGCCTGTAAAGTTTCTGTGAGAAATTAGCTGACAGTTCTATGGGCACTACCTTGTATTTTCTAGGTGCAGTTGTGTGCATTAGGTTAAGATTGTTCAATAATTGTGTTAAAATATTTTATATTCTTCTCATTTATTATTTGCTTTTACAGTAAAATCTCGCATCATGATTGTAGATTTATATATTTCTTCTTGATTTCTCCTTGAACTCCTTTCCCCTCCCTTACCATCTTGTTCATGTCCTCACTTAACCCCTACCCTCTGCTATGTATTAGGTGCATGCAAATATTCAAATATATCTTATAACTAAAATATTTTGTTTATTTAATGTTCCTCTTTATCTCTGGCAAAGCTTTTTTCTGAAAGTCTCTTTATTTGAATATCATGACATAGAAGAACCTCAAAGGAATTGAGCTATATGTTGTTCCATGGATTTTTGACTTAACCTTTTCAATGTTTTTCCTTTCATTGTTTGTTTATCCTTACCTCTTAGATGCTTTTTGTAAACAACATATAGCTGGATTGTGTGCTGTGCCAGCACAGCCAAGGGTTCGGTGAGCCTGAGGGGCATGGCGAAGGATTAAAGAAAAGACAGACAAAGAGAATATAGCTGGGGCTCAGTGGATCTCCTGTGCCTGGATGAGGCCACAGAGAAGGATCCAGCCAGCAAGCCAAGGCTTTATTTTATAGTCAAAGAAAAATAAGGTAGTGGTCAACATAATTACAATGTTCTTGTGAGTTTCACTTGTTTTGGCAGCACTTGCTGCATCTCCCACAGCCCATTAGCTACCCAGGAAGGATCTAGGGTGCGGCCATAAGGTCAAGCTTAATTATGCTAAGAGGGCTTTGCCCTCTAAGCTGGGACTTGTTTGTGGCTCTGCACAGGTCAGTCCGAGGCTTAACGCTATACCCGCTCCCTACAGGATTGTATACTTTTTATTCAATCTGGATACTGCTTTAACTGTATCACTTAATTCTTTTTA